GGAAGCTATGCAATTGCTATATTATTTTGTAAACACAGGTTATATTGTTAGTCGTGTCCAATAAATTGACACATCTTTTCTGTATTAGTTTATTCCCCTAACCAACTAGATGCCAGGATGAAAAAGGAATTTTAACAAGTGATAGACATTTTTAAACATTTAGGGTACACCAAGTATTGTGGATTATGTATTTTACATATGGGCTTTTACTTAATTCTCACATTGGCTTGAGGTAAGTAATAATACTATTTTAGCCTTTTCATATGAGAGATCTGAGACTGAATGGATTCAGGCCTCATCCAAGGAGGAAATGGAAGGAGACAGGACTCAATCACAAAGGCCATCTGTGCCCATATCAAACTGAGGAGATTTTTTTTTTTAATCACCATGTAGCTACCTCTATGGGGCACCAGATATTAGATGTTAACTACCAAAAGTGTGTTCAGTATCCTGGACCGTAATCACAATAGTCAGAAAGACTGAAAGGGGGTTTGAGGACTATTTGATTGTACTTAGGACATCCAAGAATGGTTCCCCTAGGGAATAACACTTTGCTGTTGCAGGAGTCGGTCAGGTAGGAACTTGGAGGAGGGGTGAACTTCCAGACAGACACTGGTCCTATAATATAAAAGAGGAAGAAAAGTCAACATTTGATAACTAGATTATACTGAATCCTTTGTAAGGATTATGTTTTAATTCACACATAAACTCTTTAAGGTAGACATTATTATTGTCCTTGTTTCACTTTTGTAGAAACTGAGATGCTACAGACAAGTAAACAAGTCACATGTCCAGGATGGGAATGAAAGCACCTGGACCTTTGCTGTCTAGCTAGAATTTCTCTCCCTCCATTCTTTCCTCCCTCCCTTCCTTTCTTCCTCCCTCCCTTCCCCTACTCCCCCCCCCAACCTTTTCCCTCTATTCCTTCCTCTTTCTCGCTTAAAGAGATGACATTGGTTTACAACACTCTATATTACTAGGGTTCTCACTTCCTCAGATGTATGTTACCACATCACACCCACCACTAAAGCACTCGTTTTCTCCTCCAGTTCCATACATGTCTCAAGTGGCAAGGTTTCATCTTTTAAATGAGTATATGGCACCTTTTATTCCATTGGGTAGGGAGGTATTTCCATAACCTAACTATTGTAAGTATTTCTACAATGAACATAGGAGTGCATATATACCTTCAAATTTTTGTGTTATTTCGTTAAATAACCAAGAAATAGAATTGGTACATTGTGCCAATTTTTATTGTATCTATTTTTATTGTTTTGAGAAACTTCCATATAGCTTTTTATAGGGGATGGACCAGTTTACATTCTCACCAACAATGTACAAGTGTTCCCTTTTCTCCCCACCCTCATCCATATTTGTTATTTCTGTTTTATTTATTTATTATTTTTACTGGGCCAGTCTCAAAGAGAATGCGGTAGTATTTCACTGTTGTTTTGATTTGCATTTCCCTGGTGGTAAGTGATGTTTAGTTGTAAGTGGTAAGAACCTTGTAGTGGGTTAAATAGTGTCTCTTAGCCAGAAAATCATACTATAACTTTATTTGGGCTTTGAAATGAAATTAGATCAAATCAATTTGCATTTAAGGTGGGTCTCAAATCCAAAGACCATGTCTTGGTGAAAGAGGGCATAGTGACAGAGAAAAAAAAGCAGTGTAAATAAAGACAGGGGTAGATTGGAGTAACAATCTATAGGCTAAGTAGCAACAAGAATGTCATCAAGGACTAGGAGCTAAGAGAAAGATAAGATGTTAGCAAGGCTGATTTCTAGCTTCCTAAACTGTGAGAGAATTATTTATGTTGATTTTAGCCACTAGATGCAGTAATTTTTGTTTAATACCACCTTAGGAAACTAAAACAATACCCTTTGCCACAAAGGACCCTAAAACTAAAGTTTAGGAGGGTTTATTTTTCCAACCTTGCTTATTACTCTCTGGCAGATATTTTTGACAGGAGTTTGAAAAATGCTTTTGATGCAAATATGGACTCCATTTTCAAAGACTTTAAAGTTGAAAGTTACACGTGTCATATAAAAGGCTTAGATAAATCATC